ATCCTATTCCAAAATGGATCGACGCAAATGTCTTCGATGACATGAGAGTCGCCTCAGAAAACGATGCGAGCATGGGCGGTCGTGACGGGGCTACTGGAGGGCCGTCTGGGGAAGAATATCACAGTGATGCGGAGGAAGACGGTTCTGATTCAAGTCTCCCAGATATCGACGACACGACTTCGGACGAGTCTGGCGAGTCAGAACACAGCAACGGTACAGATGACCCGGGTCATCCTCTCCGACACTCTTTCGGTAAGGCTTCACGTCTCAGAGGCGGAGGGCGAAAGATTGTGGATCACACTCCCTGGCTGAGTCCGGTTCATGATGCCGACGTGATTCTAGAGATTGCGACCGGAATCGATGTAGCCTATCAGGTTGCCATTCGCTCCAAAATCCAGGTGCGGTTTGGGACTCTTCGTTCTCGTAACAAGCTGAAAGAGCCCATTAGTTCAAAGTTCAACACAAATACGAAGACCAGTATAGAAATGGCTATCGACCGCAAGTATTGTCTTGGACCCGTTTCATGGTTGTATCGAACCGATTTGAGGTCCTCCCCGATCGCTCCTACAGCAGTATCGGATTTTTGGTGCATGGGCAGTACATTTCCGAGTGTAAACCGTAAATTTTCATCCTGGAGTTTGCACATGTGTTGATCCAATATCATCTCCAGGATTGATTGCGGTTTCAGCCAACCCAACCAAATAACAAAGGTCACTGAAATGGAGACGAAACAACGCGCATGGTCAGCCAACATCCTTGCAGGAATGAGTCCCACTGGCGGCTTCAGCTACGGGAGGAACACTGCCGAGACCAAGCAAATGGAAAATTACAATGACAAAGTGTGTGCTCTTTCGCAAATTAGCGGGATTCGAGAGCTGTACCCACGCTTTGAGTAGATCTCTCCTAAATGTCCTGTATACTACGACGTGGGTGGCTTCTGGAACAAAGATGGAAATCATTACGCGTCAGTAAATGTGGCATACGAGACAACAGAAGACATCATGAACGTGAAGAAGGGGGTTCACCATCCGATGGAAGTAGAATTCTCAATGGGAATCAATGTTGTCAATCGCGCAGATGTGAGTTTACTATCCAGCTTCAAGTCACGCAAACCCTGACATTGGTGTAGCCCAACGACACCACGTTACCGGACATTTCTTTCATTAGTCGGAACCAAACCATGCTATGGATCCCAGATAGTGCTCTGAAATCCAAAGGGAGAGGGATTATAGTTCTTACCTGTGTAAGAAGTTCCCTCATATCGAAGAGACCCAACGAATAACGGAGATTTGAGTCCTACATTCCTGATATCCAAACGCCGGATCAGCTCGCGATTGTGGAGGAACAGACCGTTGATATCCAACACACCCGCAACGGCATGTCTGCTTATACTCCTCAATGGCCCGCGAGTTGATTAACTTTTACAGATTCGCCTAGCTTAGATAAAGCTCCAGCGATCTACAACGCCTCTTTATCTCTGCTCGTCGGAGCCGCGGATGTTGCGCAAGAGAAAAAAGAAAAACCTAATTGGATGAAGCAGATTGTGCGGAAGCTTAAACCTAAATCTACGCCTGGATCTCAACTGGCAGACCTGCCACTCTATGAAGTCAAAGCGCGCGGGTGGGATGTTACCCTCAACCAGTGGCGACTTCCGGTATATCCTACTTTGGATGCCAAATTGCACAACGTAACCGAAGACTCAAGCCCTGCGTGGAAGTTGGTTGTAACTTCGACAGAAGCACAGACGAATCATCCAGCAAGTGGGTCGAAGGAGAAAGTGTCGCAAGAGTCCAGTGAACGCTCATAGGTTACATTTTGACTGGGTTTACTTCTGCTACAGTGGAACTGACGAGACCACTAGGACAATGTTTCAGACAGAGGGATTTGGCAGAGTTCCGGATGGGGTAGATGACAGCGAGTCGATCAAGAAATATCCAACCACAGATATGAATTGCGTATTAGTGACAGGCGCCTAGATCTGACGTGAGTTCCTGACCAGAGATATATATTTAATGAGAGATGAAAATTAACCCAGAAATACTGTTCACCGTTGTACTGTAATTTTATTGCCGCTTTGTGTTCAAAGCGATCAGAGTAGCGGGAAGGAGAGAAAATTCAAGAGCTACGCGCCGCTAAAGGGCAATTGCCGTCAAGTACGTAAGAGAAAGTAAAGTTGATGCTATACATACTAATGACATGAAGGGTTCATCGATTTCGGCTAGCTGCTGCTAAAGCCTTGAGACTTTCTTTAGGTAGTAAGTGGAATGCACACATGTTGTGCTGCCAGGAAATTGGTAGTGATTTCGGGCGACGTATTACGGACACTTATAAACTTCTCGGACTTTCCTAAGACGCCTCATTGTCACGATTTCGTTGAATGTCGCGACTCTCGCAGGCCCATTATGAACACTGCTGCTTCGGGAAGTCGATATTGTTGATCTGATTGATGATCAAAGGAGGCATGCCAAGCCTTGAATTGATTCGCGATTTATGCCCGAGCCGTGAGGACAGATTCATCAACGCTGTATCCACCAATCCTAAATGGCATGCATGCTCTGTCTGTGAACCGAAATTCCTTGGATCAATGAGAACCTGTTGCGCATCGGACTCGCTAGCCTTTCAAGTTTTCAGAATAAATCGCAAACCCATATTTAAGTTAAGGTAGATTCTCTTGCATTGCGGGGCTAGAATCTCCCAGTGGGCTAGGTAGAGTTTGGTTCTGGAAACGCACAGTTATAATTGGTCGCATGTAGCCTCAAGTATCAAACAAGCTCCTTCCTCGGTTGATGCAAGGTTGACAAAGGTTTATTAGAGGCGGCAATGATTCCACCTTCTACATCATTGCGACGTGCTTCTTTCCACAACTAAAACCGACCGATCACTTCCGCTGGCCACCCTGAATAAACGCTCGCACAGCCTTGAATTGAATTGCTGACGCTTGAATTTTTGTTGAACTCTTGCAGTCTTGAAGTGCGGACAGCGAGACCAACTACTAGATACCCGAGTCAGCGATCCAGGTGGATCAAATTTAAACTACTTAGGAAGGTGTGTCGATGCATCGAACCACCAAGTCGAAAGTACAAGGATTTGAGACAGTTAAGATATCGGCCTTGGACTTGAAGTGCGCCCAACTGAGCTTGACTTGTGATCACCGACAACATGCTGAAAGAAAATTGAAGATCATTTCGGACTGATTTCGAAGACTGAGATCAAATATACCAGAAAAAAAGCTCAGCGGGAGGATACGAGTAGGAATTGGACGCAAGCAACCGAGTTGGAGGTATCATGTATGACACTGAGGAAAACGGCGACCTTGGGGTCCCGCCGGGCAAGAGCCTTGACTCGGCTTCAGGTACGGAGTCATCCGGGGAGAGCAGATGGAAAGAATAGAATCTTACCACGAGGGGCCTGGGCAATCAAGCTTAATCAAGTCGAAACCAGGTGTGCTGGGTGGACTTAAAGCAAACAAGATGAGGGTGTGCAGAAAAAGCGCACCTCAGGACCGTGGGAATTTGGTCATCTGATGCGACCATGTCCGCACCGGCCCGACACACCCGATTCTGCCCGTCCTTTTCCGCGAGTCTATCTCGCGGCCAGTTCCACTGCCAGTACGCCGATTGAGTCCCACCGGACTGGGAAACTGCCTGCAGCGCACCCACAAACGTTTGGACGGCGCAAGAGCATGCGCAAGAGACTCACGACGGGGACCACAACTCCGACCCCACGCTCTGTACTTCTCAAATTCCACCCAGCTCCACCCGCGCGCCCATCCCTGGCCCGATTCGTCCCTTCCATCGTGCTCAGCGCGCTCAAGGCAGCGTCTCTGCAAGTCTTTTGACGCCCATGGCAGCACACCGCCGCCGCCAATTCGTACATCTTTGGACTCCAGGACTGACGGCGTATTCGCCCCTACTTTCCTACAAGAGACGCGCGACGCCCAACTAGAGGCGCGAGCCACGACGACGCCGCGCTGCCTGCTCGGTGCGCCACGTCACCGATTGCACGCGCCGCACTCCCGTCGCTTCTCGATCCACGGGCGTGAAAGTGGACATGCGCGTCGCCTCCTTTCCGCGCGTCGTTTTCCTGCGCTGCACTATCAAACCCATGTTTGCGTCGACTCCGCGTGCCGTAGATACCCCGTGCACAACGCGACCGAGTAGCTGGACTTCAACACACCCAAGACCAGTCTCGCGCTCGTCAAAGTCCACACTGTATTCCTGCTGCCAGCGACGCCTTCAGGTCGCGCCTCTTTCTACTCCGCACATCCAGACACGGTGACGCATTCGCCGCCCGTTGTACGGCTCATGGGCACTAGCAACTGGTACCGCGATCCGCAAGAGACGCACGGGTCGAACCGCACATTCAGCACGATACCGGCGCAGCACACACGCTGCTCGTCCTCTTGAGGCTGCGGCGTCGATCTACAGCGCTGAGTTCCGCATGTGCGATTCGCCTGTGAGCCAACTGTCCACGCCCCTGCACACGGGCACCCACAAATGCGGCGCAGTGCGATCTGCTCGCTGCGACGGGTCTGTCGGCCGTCACCCTATGCACTCTCGTCGCCGCACGCACACCCATCTCGCTTTTGGGTCCATTCGGAGCTTCGAAATCACGCGGGCGGCGCGCGACTGGGCTCCGCGTGCGGAATCAACTCGAACTTGACCTAGGCCTGCGGTTCGAGGGTGTTGCATCTCATCTCGAATCCGTATCCGCAGCTCGGGAATCCACCCATCATGCCGTGCAGACTCAATAGTTTTCCATTGCCTTGTCTCCTCCGTTCATGTGCCGGACTCCTACTTTTTCTCTCTCTCTTCGTTCGCAATGCAACAAATCAAAGCATGCTGTGAACAGTACAAGATTGACTCTAAGTCATAGTACGCTGCGACGAATTCTCCGCTGCATAGATAATCCAACCGCACCACAAGCAACTCAATTTTAAGCCCCGAATCTGACTGTGCTTCTTCTAAACCTTATATTCCATCGTCCATCCACTCCACTGTGACCCGATGGTGCAGCGGTTAGCACGCCCACTTAAAGTAGAATATAAAATTCGGGTTATGTAGGAGATCCCCGTTCGATTCGGGGTCGGATCTTGGCGGTGCTGAAGGCTTTTTTTTTTCTTTTCGTTTCACCTCATCCTCTCTTGCTTGTTGGAAGACTTCTTATTTACTCTTCTGTTAAATTCTTCCTCGTCCATGGATATGGAACCTCGCAGCTAGATTAGAATGAAGTCTCGCCTCAACGTCTTCCAGCACCGCCCCCACTCCGGGTTTCACTTTTAAATCTCCAAACATACATATAAGGCATGAATGATCCTCTGGTATAAAGACTTGATGGTGCAACGGTTAGCACGCCTGCTCTCATTGCAAACCTTGGCCTTGAAAAGTTCTGCAGGAAATCCTCGTTCGACCCGAGGTCGGGTCGTGCGATTGGTGTTTGTTCTTCTTTTTCTCTCTTTCCTCGTTCGCTCGAGTTTCTCACTTCCGCAGCGGCACCTTACTGGTTGAAACTCTCCGTTGTTTTCCTTTATCGCTTGAATGCCTCTTTTGCATCGTTTACGCTGCAAGCAATTCAGCTGAATTGTCAACCTTCTGTGGTTCGACTTCTCGTTCTCTTACAGCCAACCCTACAATCTCTGCTTTTAGATTTCCACACATCTATATAAACCATGTTCCTAAAGTATCATGATCTGATGGTGCAGTGGTTAGCACGTCTGCTCAGTATATACATCTATACTTGCAGTGTTAAGCCGGAGATCCTCGTTCGACTCGGGGTCAGGTCATACTTTGGCGTCGAGGTTTCGCTTTTGCTTTTCGTTTCCCGCTTCCTCAGTTGCTTGTTGAAATCTCTGAGTGTCTTACATTGCTCTCCGCTAAATTCGTTCTCTGCTTTTTTGACGCTGCAATTGATTTGAAATAGTCTATCGTTGCCAACAAGGTCGCGCTTTGATTGATTTCAAATCATCGATTCGTGTTTTCTATTCGTTCTTTTGCCTGCATTTGTACGAGGACTACGCCATGCGAGGGACCTCCAGATATATCTAGTGCCCATACATATACCCAAGCAAGTCTCCAAAGCCGATTATTCTGCCATTGCCAGTGTTATTTCGGGTCCTTCCTTGTGAGCATAGATCTGTTGAATGCCTCTGTGATGACGATTATCATGCTTACTTGCAGCCCTCTTCATGATATCCGACAAGCTCTCACCGCAGATATCTGAACTCCTCAGTACCTCTACTCGGGCCGCGTTTACCAACGGTCCGTGTGCGGCTTTCAACTTACAGATTCTGCTCCTCTTCGTAGACACCGCCTTCCGTGAGTCTCATTGCATCAGGCCACCTATCGACGGACGCTGCTTCGGATGCGCTGACCAGTACCCCCGCCAGGTAGCAGTTTACGTGGCGTTCACGCTCTACCGGCGCGCGATGACAAAGTTCGGTGACAAGCTGGTTGGTAGTCTAAGGCGCCCCATCGAGCGTGGGCGATGGTCGAGGTGTGGGAGGTTGATCTTCCATCCGAGACGATAGAAGTCGGTGTTGAGGACAGGTAGAATGATGCCGATGGAGGCACGCAGTACGGAGATGTCGACATCATTCAATACCTGTTTGAATGGCACATTGTAGATGCCTGCGAACACAGATACGAGAACTCAAAACTCATCATAAACGCGAACCAATGGAGAGTTCCTGGAATGAGAAGCATGCTGAGAGTAGAGATCATAACTCGAAATTTTGAGTCCACGATATCCAATAGTAGGCCCTCAACGTTAACAGATGAAGAACGAGTGCATCTGCATAAGGAATATACTGCACTCACCAGTTAAACCATAATATGGACTGCGGCAAAAGATCGCAGCAAGAGAATTCTGAAATGAATGATCAGAAAAGCAGTTTGTTGTTGAAATAAATGCCATGCGACAAGGATGAGAAATGGAATAAGGGCAATCCGAAGAGGACAAGTAAAAAGTGGAATGGAGCAAGGATGGAGGAGGAAAGAGAGAAAATGTACGGCACACTGCCATCTGTTCCCATCACTATGTAGATGCTTGGCAGTGCTTGGCCTTGTGTGAAAGCCAAGCCGGACGCGTCATCCTTCTTCTGCAACGTCCTGCTCAACCCGTTCACGCGTTCACCCTGGCCTACGTAGCTGCCCTTACTTCACCGCAGCCTGTTGGCCGAAGTGGATCGATGTCCCTGAAACTGTTCCTCGTCGTCCCAGATGGCTTTGAGTCCTTGCAATGCTCCGAAACAAGTTCAATACGAACTGCTGCAGCCGGCCTGTCTGTGTATTGCCGGACCACCATAGCCGTAGCCTCAAAAGTTCCGGCTCTCTAACAGGAATGGAGACACTTGAGCTCGCGCACAGGCGAAATCACGGACGCGCGTGCAAAATCAACATTTGTACAAACCATCATAAACGTTCGAGTCATTTTCGGCGCCTACGCCTGAATCTCTGCGTTGTCACACGCGATTCCTCTCGTTCGACCAATGTCGCCACCCAATGAGCCGATGGAGACGACGCCGCTCGTGCAAGGCCCACCCCTTTCCCAGGACGAGACCGATGACCCTGTGGACCGCCCTCTGCCAAAACTGCAGATTGCGTTACTCTGCTTTGCTCGTTTAATCGAGCCCATGGCGTAAAACATCCTCGCTATCTAGCTTTGAATCTCGTCTAGAGCTGACTTTGTTTTTTCCCCCAGATTTTTCACTATATTCCCGTTCGTTAGCCAGATGGTGTTCGACACTGGCACGGTCGACGAACGGGACGTCGGGTTTTACACTGGAATAATTGCAAGTACATCTATTGAAAAGAATGCGTGGCAAGTCTGACGTGGATCCAAGGAGTCGCTGTTCAGTGTCACGCAGATGGCCCTTATGCTGCTCTGGGGCCGCGCCGCGGATCGTTATGGTCGCAAACCTGTCCTCGTCGTATCGCTGGGTGGACAATCCGTAGTCGTCGCACTCTTCGGGCTGTCCACTCAAATCTGGCAAATGATTGTACTGCGATGCATGGCCGGGGTGTTTGCTGGTACCGTTGTCACCGTCCGCGCCATGATCTCCGAGAATTCCACGCAGAAAACGGAGGCGAGGGCGTTTAGCTTGTTTACGTTTGCGAACAACTTGGGCATTTTTCTCGGGCCGTTCATTGGGGGCGTTTTCTCGGATCCGGCGACCCAGATGCCTTTTATTTTTGGGAGAATTCAGTTCTTCAGAGACTTCCCTTACTTCTTGCCGTGCTTCATCTCTGGGCTGTTTGCGATGACGGCGGCTGTCACCAGCGCGCTGTACATTAAGGAGGTGTGTATGATGCCCTCTTTTCTACTATCTGGAGGAAAAGGCTGATAGTGCTTTAGACCCTGGTGAAGGGAGCAATTGACGGTACAGCCCCGCGCCGCATGTCTACGATGGAAATTCTCCAAGCGCGAGGCGTGGCCAAAGTCCTTTTTGTCTACGGGCAACTTCTGGTCTTAGCTTTTGGATACACGGCTGTCGTACCGGTGTTCTGCTTTACCGCAATGTCAGTCCTCCCTTCCTAACATCACCAACCCAAATCTCTCCAATCAGTCTGACACACCCTCCAGCCCACTGGGTGGCTTTGGCTTCACGCCGTTCCAGATTTCCTGGTTCCTCGGCGCCAGCGGGGCGGCTCAAGCCTTCTGGCTGCTCGTCATCTTCCCGCCGCTGCAGCTGCGGCTCGGGACGAAACGACTGTTGACGATAATCGCCCTGATTTATCCTGCAGGGTTCGTAATCATGCCGCTTTTGAATTTCTCGTTAAGACAGGGGTGGATCGTCTTCTTTTGGACCGTCCTGCCGGTGTTCATCCTGATCTGGAGCGGGTATGCTATGAGCTTCAGTGAGTGCCTTTTAATTACCCCCAAATTAAGATCAAATCGTCCTAAACTCGAACTCATGCCATGTGCATAACAGCCGGCATTCAGCTCGCGCTCAATGCCGTCTCCCCCTCCCCACTCGTCCTCGGCACCCTGAACGCGATAGCACTTACGCTTTTGAGCGCGACGCGAGCAGTCAGTCCGGTTCTGTTCTCCAGCATCTTTGCGGCCGGGATTCGGCATCAGGTTTTGGGTGGGTACTTGGTGTGGGCGGTGCTGATTGGGTGCACGGTGGCGTACGCGGCGACGGTGCCGCTTATTCCGGCGAGTCCAATACCACTGTCATTGGGAGCAACAGCGGAGCGAGAGGAGGAGGAGGAGGAGGAGGAGGAGGAGGGGAGTGCGTGAGCTGAGGATGGCCAACGCGTAGCCAGTCAGTCCGTAAAATTAAATTGATTATCAACTAGTTTGTTTCACCGCCCTCACGCTAAGGCGCCCGTACGTAACTTCTCATGAAATAAGCACATCTGAAGCCAGATTCGCCCGTTTCTGTGACGATCCGAAGTGGACTGAGTTCCAGAATGCCGAGGTTCAACTAGAAGTGGTTCTGAATCGGGCAATCGAAATTTAGCCCATTTTTTAGATGTTTTGACTCGCGATCCCCTAGTATATGTGTTGAAGCTGAAGTTGAATTGCGAGAGGGTCAGAACGAACTTTGAACACAATTTCTCATTTAACGTTGGGCGGGGAACGCGATTGGTACCGAGACGCTATCTTGGAGAGATGAGGAGAGACACCGCTACGCAGCGAATTATTTTGAACTCGCAGCAATAATTGGAAATAATGCTGTAAGGATGTGGAGCCAGATAGGAATTTATAATTGAAAACCATACGTCCAAATAAAAGTGTGCCTGAAACAACACTCATTCCGTTCGAGCTCCGGAAACGCACAGACGGTGTGTGTATCCCGTCATCGGCTGATTCAGAATTGCACCAAACCTAGATGCGAATGGCATATAGCATGATTGAAGCATCCGATTAGACAAGTTACAAGGAGCACGAACCAATGAACAAGTTGAAGTTGTGTCTGACGATATCCAATACTTATACTCATAGTAGTCTCATACGCTGAAAAATTTCCGGCATGTTAAATCTGACCTCAGCTTCTATTCTTGCAGTCTTTCTACTGGCCTGAGGTTTGTTAGCCACATACAGAGGATGCTACCAAGGATGCTAAAGCAGCTGACACAATCGTGACCGTGAGACAGTGATCGCTGTGATTTCGCTCCTTACCCCCAACTTCCATCCTCAAAATGGAAGAAGCACTGGGAATCCAAGAACTTCGTGACCAGTTCATCGATCCTCTCAGCGATTCGTTATCCGACTTGAAAACCTGCGCCTTGATATCCCGTTCATGGGTAGCTGTCGCGCAGCAGGGGATCACCCACCTAAGCCACACTGACACTCACACTCATCGGCAAGTCTGCCACTAGTTGCGCCACACTGCTTAAAACCACGCCACTGTGGTGCACTTGCCTGCACTCGCGCCACTCTCGGCTTTCGCCGTGACAGCGTGCATCCCCAATTCCTATCTGTCGGCCAAGCACTCAAATAATGGATAAACAAGTTTGAGAGGCAGAATACTATCTTGCACTACTTTTGAACTCATGATTGTTGGGAACGATGCAATTGCAACCGTTCCCGGGGGTTGACAGAGGAGTTTCAAATAGAGCCTGGTGGAATTGAACAAAGCGAAGTGGACACAGCTCAAACAGCAACCTCGTTTTTGAGACCCGACGTGTGCTTGCCCAGTAGATTATGAAGACTACGCTAGCGAACTTTCCGGGCAAAAGTCATCTTGCAGAGGCAACTTGGGGGGAACGTTCGCTGAAAACCCGTTTGCAGGCTGCCAAGTTGTTCCACGCTAAGATGTGCCGCACTCCCGAAACA